ATACATGCTTAAATAAAATTCAGCTGTTCATGCATCTATTTTTTTTTAATAGTATAACAATTATTTTTTGTTTATTGTATGTTTGAATGAAAAATGGAACAACGAATGGAGAGAAGAGAATATTGCTCGTTTCGAATCTCGCACGGCTGGTTGCATAAGTATAGACGCGACTTTCTTATTAAACGTGGAAAGTAGGAATGCAACTTAACGGAGCATCAGTGAGGTACGGGCGTTCGATTCAGCCCGGCACCAATTCCACCAATCCCTACCTACAGCTTGGCGTCTCTAAAAGGCATTTTAAATCGGCGTGTCGTGAAAGAATCTCATAGAGACGCCGTATAAAGGCATTCCACCAACCCTCCTATTCTTTCCTTTCTTCCCTCCCGCTTCCTTTTTTTCTCGCCTCTCGGTTTCGATCATCTACCTAGACTTCATTTTGCTCTTTGCATCCCAAAAAGTTTCAACTTAATGAATATCTGTATCTTATTTTTGCCACATAAAATAAGAACAAGATTTACACTAACAGAAGAAGACAGAACATTTTTGCTTTCATAAAAAGTTTCGACTTCATCGTCAATCTAATGGATACTTGCATTTTATTCGTGCATAATGAAACAACAAGAATTTGAATGGACAAAGGGGATGGTTTAGGGCAGGAAATGATTGTCAAACTCGACTAAGCCCGAAACCGTAGGGGAAACAAAAGCGCTCGTTTGGTCACATTATAATACAACGACAGTGCAACATATCCCGGCAAGTTAAAATCGCGCTGCGCTGCTTTGCAATTCCGCTGCTCTGCACCTCGCCAAGTTTTACATAATCGCGTCTCAAAGCCGGATAATATCTATACGATAATTGAGCACCGGCGCGCCTCTATAATGCACAAGCATTATGGAAATGTGTAAACGCGGTGCTTTGATCGCGTTCACCCGATTTTATTGCTTTTTATTCCCTTTCCTTAATGCCTTTCGATTATGAACATCAACTTCTATTATTCTTTCAAATAAATTAACAGCCAGGTGATCTATAATCGAATCGACTATTGGAGATGTTAAAAACAAATATAAAATGTTTAAATGAAACATAAAACGCTGTTGCGATCTAGTTTACAATATCCCCAAGGAATTTATAGTTGCGTTTTGAAATGTTCATTTTCTATACGGACTATAAAAGGAGGTATCGTCTCAATCTGTGGGTAAATTTGACAGATCGCGTTCTGTTATCTGATTACGATAATAATTGGCGAGGTGCGCGAGACGGGAAGCGGATTCTCGCGTGGATGGACCGCCAGGGACGATGAGGCTGAAAGTAATTATTGCGCCACTCGACGATTAACTTTTTTTCGGCGCGGCCCTCGCGCGGCCGTCCGCTGCTCTATGATTTCGCAGCCTATATCAGCCGGATAATAACGTTCGAATATTCCGGAGCGTCCGGGCGTTAACCGACGATCCAACCTGCGTCGTCGCGCGTTCCAATCCGAATTTTTCTTTTCAGCCCGGATAAATCGACGCGATAACCAAATAATGATTCTATTAACAATGTAAATGGTAGCGAACAGACACGCGAGATAATAATAATTAACGTAGCTCTCGCCCTTCATCCGGTTGGATTTGCATAAATATAATGCAAAATGCAACAGAAAATGTAACAGAGAATAAAATCGAAGATGCGACATAAAATATTCCACTGGAAATCTAAAGACTTTTGATATAATTTTGGTACTCTTGATCGAGATGCAGTTTGAAGGTAATAATAACGCGCGTTTTAATTTCCGAATGCAATCACGAAATTTGGCCCTCCGTGATCTTCTTCGAAACACAACTACCACATGGGTGAAGGTAATTCCCATTAAATTCGTCTTGGCTTCTCCGGGTAATTTACATGTCGACAAAAAATCTTAGCCGACACCTTTAAAACCTCCTAACGTCGTTTACTCCTCATTCTCGAGATACTGCGGTAACTCATAAAAAGGTTTCCTTTAATAAAGGTTCAGATCATCCGA